TAACATACTAACCTAATGGGCTTTTACACAAGATAACTTAGGGAACAAGTTAACTTAAACAATTGAGCTTACAAACAAAACTCAATTCGACATACTAACTTAAATTACAAGTTAATATATTTCGACAGCATGCTTGAGCAGATTTCGACTACAACATGCATAACTCCTATCGAAATATCAAGCTATCCTTGTCGACAGTAGAGTTCGATCCAAAATACTACACTGTGGAATTGTTTGTCCAACAAATTGGGTATCTAAGAAATCAAGTACTCAAACTCAGAGATATATTCCTTAATAGTTCCCTTCTTATGCAACTCAGTGATATGCCCATCCACATCTCATCGCCTTGACCTCCATATCGTTTGAGCCCAACATCCTCCAACCCTTCCCAAGTCAACAATCTATCTTCATCCAAGAGAAGTTCACCTCCACTTTTTACGACTTATATTAAACCCTAAAGTACACCTCAGCTCGGGATATTCACCCAGCAGGATCGTTCCTTTAAAACAATGGAAGCTCCACCTTACAAACAGACTAACAGAATTCTAAAAATGCTTAACCATGCTTGCATCTAGAACAGATTTTAATTGAAACTTCTTTCACTACTCATCTCTTTCACTACTCATCTCTTTCACCGTTCCTGGTTATTTCTCTTATAATTCGATTCCCTTCTCTTGTGTTCCTTATAGAGTGAAATTGTTACACAACTCTCTCACTTCAATCCAATCTAAGAGAATTATTCCTCATTATCCTTTTTGTCACTTTTCGAATATACCATCCATATCTTGGCCCCATTTGATTTGTCATAAATGATTGCATCCTTAGGATCCCCTCTGACACGTGGCCCCATACAACACTTCCTTCTATGACTGCAACCTTGTCCTCAATGCTAATGGTTGGAAATTTACTTCTCCTCCCAAGTTGCCTCTTCAGCACCCTTCCCTTGCCATTTCACTAGCCATTGCTAAATTTCTTCCCCGTGATGCTTTAATGTCCTTTTTACCAATACTCTATCAGGATTGATCAATCATGCATTCTCTTCTTCTAAATGGTCAGGTAGTGCTTCTTCATTATAGTAGTCCCCTACTGCCTTCTCCAATAAAGAAACATGAAAAATAGGATGTACCGTTGATCCCTCTGGGAGCCTCAATTTATAAGCCAGATGTTCTACTCGTTCCAGGACTGATATGTGCCAATAGATTGTTGCCTATGAGCTCTCAATTTGAAGAAGAAAAAAACCCATTCACCAACTTCGAATGACTTCTTCTTTTTATGAGTGTTGTGGTTTGATGTGGATTTGGACCTTCAATAACCGAGTTCTTAACTTACTTAATGCTTCACCCAGGTCTTGCAATTTAAAATCATAGTTGATGATAAAGGTTTACGAAGCCTGTGATTTGCCTAAGCATCAAGATTTGCAAAGTTCAAATATACTTTTATTTGATATATGTATATTACAATGGTTGGCTGCATTTTTTTATGGAAGAAAAATTAGCATGAGTAGGTCTAGAATTCCATGGAAAACTAGAGTTAGAATGATTTAAACTTGTTAACTCATAGCTAGTACTTGCTAATTTAGAATTGAAAACAACATGATTTTGAACAATAGAAGAAAATTCGTGACTTATAGGGAGGGAATCAGACTTTGAGGATTCCAATGTTAGATTGAGAATGCAATATAGTCCATTGGTATCAAGGAATTTCTCAATAGAGTATGCTTAAAACCCTAAGATTTCACAACATTTATGATATTTGAACACAAATAGAACATGGTTATCCTTGTAGAATTTGTAAACAAATAATAAATTTCTAGTGATTGAGGGAACATGCAGGATATTATGAAGATTTAATGTATTGCTAGAATCAATTTGAAGGAAAATTGAATAAACTAACAGACTTAATTTCTAAACTTTGTCCATTACCAACATGAGCTTTTTTATGGCCTACATAAGACTTTTTGCTATCCATGTAAAATTTCCTGTCTTTATTGACGAACCCGCACTTTCATACGTGAATTCAAATATTTGTGAATCTTATCTCAAATATCATATGCTTTCGATCTCATATGCATGTTTTTAGAAGAGCACTCTAAGCAATACGAATTCAAAAATTGTAGAAAGTAGTCCTATGATAAAGCTTGATCTTGAACCGTTCATGACTCATATACATCGAAAACATTACCTTTTGACAATCTTGATCGGTCTTGAATTTTAGTTGAATTTGATGAAAGTATGATTTACAAATACGATTGTGATTGAAGATTGAAAATTAGATGATTATTGAGAAAGATGAATGGTGATTAAAACTTCAGCTAGAGTTTTGTGCATAACAAAATATTGTCAAGACAGTTATGAAAGTAAGATTGAAAATTAAAATGGTAATTAATTCTAGCAAATTTTATCTCATATCTCTACCATTTTTCTATATGTATTTTTTCTTCATCAAATAACTTTCAATCAAATTTTTCGATATATATTCTTTCTTTATTAAATAACTTGCAATCAAGTTTTTCAGTATGAAAATTTTCTTCACCGATTAAATTACACACCAAAAAACTTAATTACAAGTTATTTGGTAAAGAAAAAATACATGCCAAAAAATTTGATTGCAAGTTATTTGGTGGAAAAGAAAAATACATATTGAAAAACTTGACTGTAAATTATTTAGTGAAGAAAAAATACATACCGAAAAACTTGATTGCAAGTTATTTGGTGAAGAAAAAATACATACTGAAAAACTTGATTGAAAATTGATCGTACCTGACCAGAAGGGGATCGATGGTCTGCCACGCATCGTCGATCTGGAAGTTGTTCACCCAAAATGTAGAAGAGGAGGGGGTGTACCTGAAACACACTCTGATGTCAAAGTAAGTGACGAGCAGAGTAGAAGCAAGTGTAGAGAGAGAGAGAGAGAGAGAGAGAGAGAGAGAGAGAGAGAGAGAGAGAGAGAGAGAGTAAGAGAGTTAAGTTACCTGAGTGAAGAGGGTATTTATAGTGAGCCCCAGCGCAGGGCCAACGGTTACCTAGCATTAGGCTGGGCTGCCATACCCAATGTTAGCAACTGCTAGGGCTGACGTGGCGTCGTGGACACCAGCACGTGGTCTTCACCCTAGTGTAACTGCTCTGCACTATCCGGAAGGAAGAAGACCGAATCTCCCGGATGTGGGTAACTACTCATGACGTGTCCCTGCGTGAGGGACACGTGGAGAACATGGGGGGAGGTCCAAGGAGCTCCCCGAGATGAGAGAGTTCTGCCCGACGAAGGAGAGGACAAAGGTTAGCTGACCGACAGCGATGGTTCTGCCCGACAGCTGAGGGCCTTTGCCCAACGGGAAAGGAATGATGTGCTCTACAGCGTGGGGGAGTTCTGAGGAGCTCCCCGGAAAGACAGGGCTCTGCCCGACGAAGGAGAGGATAAAGGCTGACTGGTCGACAGGGAGGGTCCTGCCCGACAGCTGAGGGCCTTTGCCCGACAGCTGAGGGCCTTTGCCCGACTGGGAGGAATGTTGTGTCCGACGGCGTGGGGGAGTTCTGAGGAGCTCCCCGAGAAGACAGGGCTCTGCCCGACGAAGGAAAGGACAAAGGTTGGCTGGTCGGCAGCGAGGGTCCTGCCCGACAGCCGAGGACCTTTGCCCGACGGAGAAGAAATGTTGTATCCGACGGGTCCCTGCTTGTTAGTGTGGTCCTATTGGACTCATCCTCAATGGGGTTTGGGTCTACTCGATTGTGGGCTAAACCTCGACCAAATCCAGAACAAAAATTATTTAATGCAAAAATATAATTCATACCAAAAAACTTAATTGTAAATTATTTAGTAAAAAAAAAATACATATCAAAAATTAATAAATATTAAATAATAAAATTATTTAATAAGTAAAAAAAAAAATTAGAATATTTCAATAAATCGTAAGAGTAGAGGGTTAATGGTTGGGGTATAAGGTAAAAAAATTTAATACCATAATAGAAAAGGATGTAACATAATATTGTAGGTCTCATCATAATTTTTATTTCAAACAGTTCCAAGCCACTATATCTTACTCAGTTGAGCTGATTATAAAGGATGAATCATAACTAGCAATAATTTTCTCTAACACTCGTAAGAAATAACACTTAAATTAAGAGATTAATTTGTACCTTTAATAAATTATGATATACCAAAAAGATCATTTAACCAAAACTTCATATATTTGATAATACTAAACACGTTTAACCAAAACTTCATATATTTGATAATTTGATAATACTAAACACATTTAACCCGTCGACTTGCATTAGTCATTCCACTCGCCACTTAACTTCCATGCGTGACAAACTCAACCATCCTTCAACTTTCATGGTTGTACACCTACCAGCTCTACATAGCATTTTTCATTATCTCACGATTCTAATTCCAAACACATAGGGCGTTGATTGAATAGTGACTTGTAGAATTGGAATTAGTGAGTTAGGAAGTTGTAACTGACTTGGTTGGATGGCTGCTAACTAGCCTAATTAATTCTATCGATTAACAAGCATAAATCAACCTCACTGTAACAATTCATTTTGAGCTCAATTAATAGAAAATGTGTCATTTGCATCAGAACATTCTCGCTAGCTTTCACTCTGCTTTTTCATGATATTCACTTTTAATATGAAACCTCCTAACAGGCTAATCAACAGACATGTTTCAATGACAACGCAGAGAAAGGCCTGCAAAATCACATTACCCAGAGACAGAAAGATAAAACTCTGAAATTCAGTGGGAAAAAAGCAGCTTTCAAAATGGAGTGATAACAAATTTCAGTCTAGCACAAACTCAACAACGAACTGAGAACACTAGATAAATCAGATGACAGTTGAAACTTCATTATACAGTTCACAATTTGCTTTGCCAAACAGTACAAAATACAAAACACCAGCACAATCAAGGAACCAAAACTTCTTAAGAATAAACATAATAGTTAAGATGAACAAGAACCTAGCAGATTTCCAGCTGTGTCAAAAAATGTCAGAACTGTATTTTTAGTCGGGGAGGATTTGCTCGCCATCAGCATCTCCCTCGGTCTCAATTTTAGGCTTTGAAGGGCCTGCTCCAGGGGCTTGCGTCTTCTTGATACCACTCACTATATCATCAATCCTCAGAAGCATGCATGCAGCTTCAATGGCAGTCTTGAATGTTTGTGCCTTAACATTATAGGCATCCCAGATCTAGCACAGCACCATAATACAACATATCATTTTCAGAGCTCAATTACTGACATATACACTAACAAGATAACTAAGCATGTGCCCATAAATTGAAATACAACAAAATATGTAAACGGAGGGGGAGGTGATGGTGATGAAGCAGCACTGGCCATCAGGCAAATTAGATTATAAGGTGACAAAGGTTTTCCAGTTACAATGACATAAAGATGGATTTCTTCACTGTGTTGCCTCTCAGAAATAAATAGACATCTAACTTTAATGTGACCAACTTAACTCGGCAAAATACTTGGATACTTTTGGATATCAATATCATTTACAACATGCAAACTCCAAGAATAAGATAAAAATAAAGTACCTTGTGCTCTTTCATGTCAGCAATGGCACCAGTATTTCCATCTATACCAATCCATGCATTTTCTCCATTTGCATGCTATAATTTTCACAAACACAAATTAAACAAAGATCAGGCTTTCAAAGAAATGACTGTAGAGAATATATACTAGCAAACTATTCTTACTTTTCCTTGTAGTGCAGTCATTGTCCGGATGACATTTACTCCACAATTTTGTGCCAGAGTACGTGGAATAGCTTCAAAAGCAATGGCAGCTGCTTCATATGGCCACTGTTAGTCAATAAGAATCAAAAGTGAGAACCAGAGTAAACTGCTGCTCAACACAAGCTAAGAACTAGAACCTGCCAAATAGGAAGAAGTACCACTGGTTCACTGAAACAACATTGACATACACTCACCTTCTCTATGCCTTCAATAGAAGAACTCTTCTGTTTCAGAGCAGCTGACACGGTCATCTCTGTAGCACCACCTCCAGGAACAAGTTTTGGATTTTTTATTATGTTCCTAGCAACAGACATAGCATCCTGGCATGGCAAAGAGTTTCAGGAAGCCGTATGATTAATATGTTTGGTCTTCAGTAAATAAATAACAACAATTTATACCTGTAGATTTCTTTCAACCTCATTTAAGAGATCCTTACTGGCACCTCGTAATAATACAGTACAAGCTTTGGGTTCTTTGCAATCAACAATGAAAGCAAAGTACTCGTCTCCAATTTTCTTAACTTCAAATAATCCTGCACCAGTACCAACATCAGACTCCTGCAATTCATCTGGTCTGTTGACAATAACAGCGCCGCTTGCCTTGGCAATTCGATTATTATCTGTTTTCCTCAGTCTTCTGATTGCACTCACTCCATTCTTGCTCAGATAATGGCATGCCAAATCACTGAGACCCTTCTCTGTTACTACCAAGTCTGGGTTGAACTTCAATATCTGCGCGCAGAGCCCCTCGATGTATTCTTCCTCCAACTTCAATAACAGGCTCCAGTCTTCTTCTTTAAGCAGTTCAGCATTTGTTTGGTTTTCACCCTTTTTATACTCTAGAGGACAATCGAGGAGAATGATACGTGGGTTAACAATCTTTCTCCTCATTTTGCCAGGGGCAACCACATCTTTGTTTATCATAACTCCCTTAAGAACTCTCGAATCCTCAAGTTGAGCGCCAGGGACCTTCTCAACCTTGATATAATTTTTAATATCTACATCTCTTAAACCTTGGCCAATATCAACACCCACTGTTGTAGTAGCATCAATGGCTAAATCCTGGAGTATAGCCAAAGTAGAACATTTAGAACACAATTCAATAGATCTAGAAATGTCTGGCAATTGTTTATGGCTATAATAATTATCTGCACTAGCAGCATCAAATTTTAGTCATGTTCACTCAAACAGAAACAAATGCAACCAAAGAAAAAGAGAGGAAATAATGAGATTATTAAAACACTATCTGCTAGGTTAGCATATAAAAGCAATTAAATTGATAAAGGATAAAAATATATCAGAGTCATATGTTCTTAGATGTGTTGCCTCCCTAACTACACAAGCTTACCTAATTAAATGAAGATAACTTTAACACTTATCTAGATGTCAATAACCATAACATGAATAATAACCAATTACATTGGATTAATGAAAGAACGTCAATTCGTGCTTTCATAGAAAATAAAATTATTTGGTTTAAGAACACTGTATATGACAACTTTCATAACTTCCCAAGTTGCTAAAGCTACCCTTTCCCTTGGTCACACTCGCATTAAAGTCCTTCTCTGGGCAATTCAAGAATAACCATTACCAAATTAAACATAAAGCTCAAATATTTGAAAACATAAAAGAGCAAAGTAGAATATCATTTGGAAATCTAGCTAAGAGAAATATACTCACAGCAATTAAATCCCCAAATTGACTGGTGAATTTGGTGCCTATGCAGCTTTTCACAAGCCCCAGCATTTGACCTCCTGCATTTTAATTCATCAATAGCATTGGAATTATATGTCAAGAAATTCAATGAAACAGTGGTGTACTGTTCTTACAAATTGCTAAAGACTACTAGGAACTTTTGAGGCAAACAAAATCACAATATTACTTCCCAACTCACAAACTATTTGGACAATCTATTTTAGGTTTCTCCTCCGTGTAAAAAATGGAATGCTGAATTGACAGGGTTTAGCTCACTGAACGTTTGTAAATTACTGGGAGAGTATTGTAACCAAAAAAAAAGTACCAATCTTGAAAAGAATAATAAAACTTACGATCCTGAACATCAATAGGCATTGCAATTTTGTCAATGGCAGCGATAGCATCCTCCAAAGCTTTGTTATATGCTGCAAATTACAAAATTGTATCAGTCATTATACACAATTCTATACTGTACGAAAGAACCACTGATTAATACTATTACATTACCTCGGCAAATAACGGTAGGGTGGTAGTTTTTGTCAATGAACGCTTCGGCAACATGGAGCATCTCACCAGCTACACAAATATGGCAAGATATTGAAAATGAGAAAAAGCAATCCCAATAGATCAGAAAAAAATCCTCAGTTCAGTACATGATACAACAAACAAACTCTGGAGTTTGTTACTCAATAATGCACAAAAATAGCAAGGCATATGTCAGAGAATCTGAGTTCAGACCAACTTAACACCAAGAAGGGAGATTCAAAACTGCACCGGCTATCAGAGAATTTGAAGTATAAGAGACATCGAAGAGATTAGCTAACTGACTCGAATAATTTACCAATTGAGGTATGAAAAGATCTCAAATAAAAAGACACAAGACAACAGCTCAAAATGGTTTAACAAAAGTGCAAATTATAGAGGGATTAAACTCATGAGTAACTAGGCCGCTTTAGAAGAGAGTGAGTGAACAAGGTAAAAAAATAAACCAACATCACTAAACATTTAATTTGGAAGCTATAACTTTTTACAAAGATCAAGTGGAGTACAGCCAACACTTAAAGTTGAGGAAGAGCAAGAAAAAGAATAGACCTAACAAAAGCGATATATTAATAATTTTAGGGAGTCGAGAGAAGAGATGGACGAAAAGTTTTAAATAATGGAGACACGATTTTTGCTCAAGTAGAAATGACATAAGTATATAATATACAAGTTCAGTGATACAAAATGAATTCTATTGTACAAGCGGCAAAAGTTTGAAAGCATACAACTAGTCAACCATTAATAAATATTTATAGAAAAATGGTCTTATCTTAAAGATAATGCAGGACAGGACTTTATAGCATATTGATTAATTAGTGTAGTCAACCAAACCCATCTAATTGACAATTTGTTGGTTGTGTTTTCTATTATTATTTTTGCTATGTGAACGAATCATTCCAATCTTGCAACAAAAAAGAATTTCAGAATGAGCCCAATAATATATAATACATGATAATCAATTATTAAATATATATCAAATTTAAACATGCATGCCCACATAAATATGTATGCAAATAACATACCAAGAATGATGACAGATGTGGTTCCATCTCCTACTTCTTCGTCTTGGGTGCGACTTAATTCAATCATAGACTGTACTCATCCAAATAAGCCAACAATTTCAGAAAGTATGAAACAAAGAGAAACTAAACCTATAAAATTATAGGCAAACCAGAAAGTTGTGCATTCACATGACGTGGTCAAGAGTGCACTGTAGGGCAACATCAATGAAATGAAGCATGAGAGACAAGTACCTTGGCAGCTGGGTGAGCAATATCCAATTCCCGTAAGATAGCATTTCCATCATTAGTCACCACAATTCCTATTATAGTTTATAGGGGGGAAATAGGTGTTTAAGTACTTGGAAACACAAGACATAAATTAAACCTTAATGATAAATACTGTTTCATTAACAATTTCATACTCATAACCTAAAACTTAAATATCATGTTAAAAAACACAAATAGTTCAAAACTCTTACAAAAACTGTGACCAGAATTACGACGGCTTGTAATCAGCAAAATCGATACAAATAAGAAAATATTTTCCGTCAGCAAATGAATACTGCGAACACATGATCCACAATAGTCCTTAACAAGCTATAAGTTTATTTAAGAAGTGAAAACACTAACCTCCAGAAGCATCAAGAAGCATCTTTAGCATGGACCTGGGTCCCAAGGTTGTACGGATTATATCAGCAACAGCCTTCCATTCATCAACACCCACATTAAATTAGAAACAACAAATGAATGTTAAGAAACAATAGAAAGCACTACTAGGTTTTGGGCAGTAATCATCAGTAACAGGTTCACCTTTGACGCCTGAATATTAGCATGATGCACCTTAGTTCCAGACTCACGTTTCAAAGAGTCCTCTGCACATTTATAGCAGGGATTTAATGAGTCACTCCATATTAAAACAAAATGTGCTTATACGTACAAAAGAAAGCGAATATTAAGAATCATCAGAGTTTAAAAAGTGAGAATGTTAAGAGACGGTTTATTCTTTAACATCATTCTCAATTATTAGTATTACTTTGTTCATGGGTAACATGTGCAGAGATTACATTTTAGCATAGATTTTCCTTTAAAATTGTGACAGGGAGAAAATAGAAGCTAACTAGAGAGAATGGATTTTCAGAAACACTGCAAACAGTGAAAGTTTTCAGAACGGGTAACATGTATCACCAAAAGTGAGAATGTTAAGAGGCTGCTTATTCTTTAACAACATATCAATTATTACTTTGTTCATGGGTGGCTGAAACTACATTTGGTTATAGATTTTCCTTTTTAATTGTGACAGGGAGAAAATAGAAGCTAACTAGAGAATGTATTTTCAGCAACGCTGAAAACAGTGAAGTTTTTCAGAAAGGTAACATGAAACACCAAAAGTAAAACCATATTCAAAACTACCATATCGCCTTCTCTAATGTGAGAATGGTAACATGAAACACCAAAAGTTAAATCATATTTAAAACTCCCATACCGCCTTCTCTAATGTGAGAATGGCAACATGAAACACCAAAAGTAAACAGCCCTAAAGAAATCAAACAAAAATTGAGAAAAGTAAACCGCCATTAACAATTATAATGTTGATATTTATTTATTTAACAAGAGTTTTACAATTAAAATAACTCAAACTAAACATGAAACCAATTCAAATCAATAAAAAAACTAACAAAACCCCTAAAATTAGCCAAACAGAGAAGCAAAATTCCAAACGAGAACAGAGAACTTACTGAGAACTAGAACTGACGACTGCATGATTTCTAGGTTTAAAAATCTCCTGAGACTTTTCCAAAACACAAACCAAAGCTAGCAGCAGAGGAAACGCTTCTGAAGATACCTATAGAAAATTATAGAAATTCGAGCTTCACTGCACATTTTACAAATTTCACAAAACACAATTAAATACAAATCCATATTCAAACAAAACACCGCAACAGCACAGTCTCCATTAACAAAACACACCAGATTCAAGCATTTCCTAAAGCATAACAAAGGCACGAAACGAACATATATCGATAACGAATGGAAACTAAAACCCTAAATCACGATACAAAGGTGGCGATGCAGTGAACGAAACCGGATCGGAAAGAAGAACGGAAGTTACCTGAAGTCGGGAAGAGAATGTTGGGAGCGGCGGCGGAAGGAGCGTTAGGGCACAGAAAAAGAAGATCGGTTATGGAGTAATGAGTGTAGTGTTAAGAATGAGACTACGCTCGCTCAGGTTTTCCGCCAAAATGAACTGGTAGAAGTAGAAAACCCTGGAACACTACTATATTTTTTATTTATTTGTTTATTATTTATTTGAGTAAATAAATTGTTCATTTACTCAAATATCTAATTAATAAAAAATCAACTATCTTGCTAAGAAAATTAAATATATGAGTAACTCTAAAATAACTTTTTCATTTGCTAACTTTAGAAACTCATTGGACGCACAGATATTTTATAATAAATATCATATATAACATTTACAAACAAATAGTTGAATAAAAAAATTTAAATATCATAAAAAAAATTATATAATTTTATATAAATAATCCATTAATTAAATATGTACATTCTGTAACACTTTTTTATAAACCACATTTTCAATTATATTTGAATTTTCGCCTTCATCGATAATTATTAATATTTTTAAGTCTATCCTTAAAGTTATTCTAGATAGTGTAATATATAGTTGTTCATGAGAGAAAATTGATTGGGTGAGATACAATATTGCTACTAAATATATTTTTTTCTTTAAGTTCATAACTTTTCATTTTTGTAATTATTAACGAATGTCATTGCACAAACATAAATATGTTTCTCAATAGCATGATCAGAACTCCAACTTTCAATCTTAATTTGTGATTTGAATGTCCAGAAGAAACAATAGTGTTTAAAAATTCAGAAGTATGCATATCATCTGACATGTCAATATATGATCTGACATTACATGGAGAGTCATAACTCAAATAAATTTTTTCTTCTCCAAGTATTAGATCTAACATGTATATATTTATGGCATCCACAATTGTATTCTTAGGAACCAATACAGCTCCATTCTGAAAAAATAATAGATCATTCATCTTATGCATTAGATTTGGATACGTGCTTTGAATGATAGCTGAAAGTAGATCACCAAAGCTAATAATCAACAAAATTTGTGGTATCTGGATCATTAATGTCTCTGATACTTTCATCATCAATTTTCAAAATTCACTATGAAAAACTTTTTCTCTCTTCGACGTCTGAATTTATACCTCCCAGTTAGAAGTTTAATGTTAGTGGTCAATGTAAGCTCTTCACAAAAACTTCATAGATGATAAGAATTTATAGTAGAATGAACAACTTCTTGTCTTGTTCCTTTAGGTATATCATGAGCAGATACTTTAAAAATCTTGATTGAATTCATAAAATTAAGTCTGTTCCTATGTTTAGTGGCTTTGTATGAAGAGTCGTTACTTTCGACCATAAATTTCTCAAACATATAAGATGAACCTTCTACAATTTGATTTAATATATATATATATATATATATATATATATATATATATATATATATATATATATATATATATATATATATATATATATATATATATATATATATATATATATATATATATATATATATATATATATATATATATATATATATATATATATATATATATATATATATATATATATATATATATATATATATATGCTTATTGGTATCTCATATCATCTTTGTCCATGTTTGGAAGAAAAATAATTAAAATATGGAAGAAATGGATTTGAAAATTGATTTGGAAAGATTTCAATTATGCTAAATGTGTTATCTCTTTGTAGCTAATTAATTTTTACTTGAACAAAATATTTGAAATCATATCAATGTTACAGTATGTCGTAGCAAAATTATTTTGTATATATTAAAAATATAATTAAAAAATAATAAAATTATTATTTTATGTCCATCAAAGATTATAATAAATAAGGTTTGAATATCTTTTCTTTGAAATTTTATTGAGTTAATATTAATAGATGTTTCAGTGAAAATGTTTTTTAAAGAATATATTTATATAATTGTTTATATCGGTTCTATTTTTCATATAAAAAATATAGTCATACCAACGTTATCTCATAATAGAATTATTTTGTATATATTAAAAATATAATTAAAAATATTAAAATTATTATTTATGTCAATTAAAGATTATAATAAGTATGGTTTGAATATCTTTATTTTAAATATATTACTAAATACTATTAATAAGTATTCTGGTGTAAATATTTTTTAAAGAATATATTAATATGATTTTTAATATCGATTTTATTATTCATTTAAAAAATATAGCTGTGTCAATGTTATTTTATAACAAAATTTTATTTTTTATTTATTAAAAATATAATTAAAAATGATAAAATTATCATGTTGTGTCAATTAAAAATTATAATAAGTAAGGTTTGAATGCCTTTTATTTGAAAATTTTATTAAGTTATTATTAATAAGTACTTTGGTGTAAAAAAATTTAAGGAATATATTAATATAATTTTTTATATTGATTCTATTTTTCATATAAAAATATAGTCATATCAATGTTATCTCATAGTAAAATTATTTTGTATATATTAAAAATATAATTAAAAATGATAGAACATTACTTTATGTGAATTAAAGATTATAATAAGTAAGGTTTGAATACATTTTCTTTGAAATTTTTTGAGTTATTATTAATAAGTGCTTTGGTGTATAATTTTTTCAAAAAATATATTAATAAAATATTTTATATTGGTTCTGGTTTTCATATAAAAAAATATAGGCTGTGAATTTTATCTCATAACAAACTATTTTGTATATATTGAAAATATAATAAAAATGATAGACTTATTATTTTTATGTCAATTAATGATTATAATAAGTAAGGTTTGAAGACCTTTGAGAAAAAAATTTGTGTTATTATTATTAAGTGTTTTGGTGTAAACAAAATTTAAAAAATATATTATTATAATTTTTTATATCGGTCTGATTTTCATATAAAAAATATTAAGAATACAATTCAAATTAATAAATAAATATTATAATTAATTACAAAGTTATTTATATAAAAATTTTGCAATTAAATTAGAAATAATACGAATGTCATTAATGTAAAAACTTTTGATTTATAGATAAAAGTAAGGTTTAATTAGTCATGATGCCCTTTAATTTAATTTCAGATTTCACTTTAATCTCTGAACTAATAAACGTTACATATTAGTCCCTTAAAAATAATTATGTTAGCCAACTTAATCCTTTATGTTAAATGTTAAATAAAAATGTTAACTTGTGATGATGTGACATGACAGCAGTGCAAAAGTCAAAATAATGAGTCAGCAAATTTTTTGAAGGACTAAATTGAAATTTTATAACTAGTTAAAGGAGCCTACTAGGACGATAATCAACCTGTGATTAAAATGGCTCTACCAGAATTTCATAAAATTTTATCCGATCATAAGTTGTTATTTACCATACCAAAATTTCATAGCCACCAAATCTTGAATTTAATAACATTAAATCATAATTTTATTACAATTTTTATTCAAACCAAAAATATTAAACAAAAATAATATTAAACATATTTTAAAATGTCATATAGCACACACAACTACAAAAGATGTACATAAATACTATTACAAAAGATGTACACATAATAAATACAATTATGGTTGGCTCCAGGTTTTGGATATTTTTGAAGTCTTCTTTTTTTCTTTAGAATTAGCTTAATTGAAGAAAGTGGTGATGTAGATTGTGTTGGTATTGTCTAACTTAGTAGTGTAGACTCAGTTGGTGTTGTCTTATTTAGTGGTGCCGATTCGGTTGATGTTGTTGAGTTTGTGTTAGGATGAATTGTTTATAGTGTCAAAGTCAGTTGATTTTAAATTTGTCAATTCAGTTATGTCCATTCATATGCAATCATATTTACTCTATTGAAAGTATAAATTTCACATATTAGCTTAAAGCTTTAACCATAGTTATATAAGCATGAAATTTGAGACTAACCTTCATAGGAATCAATTTTTTATCTTAATAGATTTTGCTAAACAACCAAATAAGAACTCGCAACACAGCTCCAATCAAGAATAATCATACAAGAAACCACTATTCTAATATAATTTGCAGTAGCATCAAAAGTATTATTCATAATTTTTCAATAACATATAGGTAGAATTATATAACTGAATATGATAAATCCAAATTCAACGTCCAGTAGCATCAAAATTATTAGACATAATTTTTCATACTATCAAACAACCTATCTAACTATGTTTTTTAACAAATTTGTTGGAAAAAATATTAAAGGCTATTTATACTTTAATTCATATATACTTTAATTCATGTATAGTTCAATTTCAGAACTAAATTAAAACACATAGCAACTGTTTGAATTGCAAAATGCAGGATATTTATACTTTAATTCATATATAACTCAAAACTAAATTAAGTTTTAGCAAACATCAACAGAAAATAAATTTTAATTGCGTGGTGTATGTTTATATGCATAGAATTGACCGACAATAAAAACAATATTATACGAAACACTATTTTAACAAATACTCAATTCAGAAAATTCTTCAAATACCTTAATTGCAATCTTAAAACAATAAAAACTCATGACTCTAAATCTAAAAAGATTGATTTTTTTTTTTAACAAAGAAAACTCTAAAATGCAAAGCAAAAAATAATAATTAAACCTACCATTGAATCACCAAGTAACATTGAAACGAAGACAAAATTAAACATAGCTTTT